TACCCTCCCATTAAGCTATCTTTACCAATTTTTATTTTATTTTTTAAAATAGTTTTTACAGGAAGAGGAAGGAAGAAGGGGAGATAAACATTTATGTGAGAGCGAAACATCAATCGACTGCCTTCTCCTCGCCTCCCTACCAGGAATTGAACCCAAAACCCGGGCAATCAAACTGGCAGCCTTTCGGTGCATAGGACAACACCCAACTAATTGATCCATACTGGCCAGGACTAGCATCACCAACTTTTAAAGTTAGGTCCTATCTATACTGTAGTATTCATTTATTATAAATTTTATTGTGCTAGTAATTTCTACTAGGGTTCTAAAGCTCCTGGAAGTATTCTAGTTACAAACTTACACAGATTTTTAGGTCAGCCTTATCCCTCTTTGTCCCATAATCATACCAGAGTAATACGGGGTTGTGGGACAAATAGGAATAAGGCTGACCAAATTACTCTAATGTATTATTTTGCATAACTCAGTTATTTCAGCAATCCCACCAGCTTCTTTAAAATTATCTGGATGCTCATCTAATTTTATTTCCTTTCAAAACTGCTAAAAACTAGAGAATTTTTAAAAAGGCATTACCCAGGGCCTTTATTAGACAAAGATGTTATCATTTTGATAACCACAAAAAGAGTAATTATTACCCTAGCTAGTCTGGCTCCTTAGAGCATCAGCCCGAGGACCGAAAGGCCACAGGTTTGATTCCTGATCAAGGAATGGCACATACCATGGTTCAAGCCAGTTCAGGGTAGGTGTGAGAGGCAACCAATCAATGTGTCTCTCCAACATCGATGTTTTTCTCTCTCTCTCTCTGTCTCTCTCTCTCCCCCTCCTACATCCCTTCCAATCCCTCTAAAAAAATCAATGGAAAAATATCTTACAGTAAGGATAAAAAAAGAAAAAAGTAATTATTGTGATTAACTGGGACCCAACATATTTACAAAAATTCATGAGTTGCGAAATTATACCCAAAAAACTAAACATCTGTTCCCACTTAAGATAGCTAATAAATTAACCAAAGGTGGTAATTAAAAGCAAACAATTAAACATTTATTACAAAAACTAAACAGCTCCAGGTGATGAGAAAAAGATGTATTTCACGTAAGAATACAAGTTAATAAATGTAAATGGGATGACAGAATTAGAAAATTGTTTTTCAGTTTCTAATGAAATAGCAAACTGAGCAATACAACTATTTGATGAATAGTTGATAAGGGAGATTTTATGGGGATGAAAGTAACAGGAAGTAGATGTGTTATACAAAATAACAAAACAGATTGGAAACAAGGAAGGAAATGGAGGAATCACATTGTCATTTGGAGGAATCACATTGCCATTTGTCAAATAGAGTATGTCCATTTCATCTTCACACAGAAGCCTGTTCTCAGGATTAGCAATCATTGCATAACCAAATATTGTGTCTCCTGTTGCAACATGAAGCATGCACACAACCCATTATGTAATCTTAAAGCATGGAGACAATTAACCTGATCTCTTTATTAAATCATTGCTATGTAAAAAAGGGATTGCTCTAAATTTAAAGATTTGAGGAAGATAACCAGATGCAATGCTGGCATAAATAAGATCGTACTTTATACAAAAGGTTGTCAATAACATTTTTAAATATATTTTTTTATTGATTTTGTACAGAGAGGAAGGGAGAGAGATAGAGAGCTAGAAACATCGATGAGGGAGAGTCATCGATCAGCTGCCTCTTGCACACGCCCTATTGGGGATATGCCCGCAGCCAAGGTACATGCCCTTGACCGGAATCGAACCCGGGTCCCTTAGTCCCCAAGCCGACGCTCTATCCATTGAGCCAAACCGGTTTCGGCTCAATAACATTTTTAAAACAATGGGGAACATGGAATATAGAATGGGTGATAGTAATTAAGAAATTACTATTAAGTGTGGAATGGCATAATATGTGTAAACTACTTTTTAAAAACTTCAGTATTTTTGCATTAAAAACAAACAATGTTTACCCAGAAGAACAGGAATAACATAAATATGAATAACAAAATTTTAGGAGCTGGAAAATCTATATATATAAAAGCCTAAGCAACCACAATAAGCGGAACGACAGGAACGATGAGAACAACTAGTCACTGACCACCAGGGAGCAGATGCTCAATGCAGGAGCTGCCTTCTGGTGGTCAGGCACTTCCACAGCCAACCTTTCCCAGCCAGCCAACCTCCCACAGTCCCTCCCCTGGGCCAGCAGGCCCTGATCGGGCCCCAGGGTGGAACAGGGAATCAGGGGTTGGTGATAGCAGATGCAGCCCCTTTTCCAGAGGGGCTGAGGGCTAGCTCTCTCCTTGGGGCCAGCAGCCAACCTCCCATGCCCCATCCTTCTCTCTGGCCAGCAGGCCCCAATTGGCCCGCCATCTGCCAGCCACAGTGGTAGCACAGTGGCAAGGGAATGAGGACAGGGAGATGGGGAACCATGTGGTGGCAGAGCGCTGACTGACGATGGCGGTGTTGGCATTTGGCGTCCATTCCTTCCATGTCTGGCTTAGCGACCATCATCTCCTCTCCAGCCCAGATCTGATCAGCCTGGCTCCAATTGGCCCTGATTGCCAGCTAGGCCTAGGGACCCCACCTGTGCACAAATTCCATGTATCAGGCCCCTAGTGGGTAAATAAAGTAACTGAACAGACCAAAGCCAAATCTAAGGATGGCAGTAAGAAAAATCTCAACAGTTCACTAATTTACATCACATAATATTCAAAGGGCTCAAGGATTTAAACCAGTGATTTTCAATCTTTTTCATATCATGGCACAGATAAACTAATTACTACAATTCCACCCAATTCACAGGACACCAAAAATTACTCTCTTTTTTTCAGATCTGAGAAAAAATAGGTATAATTTTGAGTCAGGCTATTGTGTTGGCTGTTACTATTTTTTTTTATTATTATTTAATAATCTAAATAGTAAGGTGCTGTATATTTTAAAAATTCTTGTGACATATAGACTAAAAATCACAGATTTATACTATGTTAACCCTGGAAGTGGAGATAAAAGTTGGAGAAATTATTGTGTAAGAAGTAGTTAGCATCCAAGGTCCCCTCCCCAATTCCATGCCAATTAGGGTTTTGCATCCTATTCATAAACACAAATGACTGAAAGTACATTCTCTGTGTGAGTTAAAACACAGTACCTGAATGGGATTTACCTAAGAGGTGGAAGGCAGAGGACTAAATGAACGTAGACACACTGAATAGTGAGACCCCGAGTAACGAGCACCAGTCAGTCCCTTACCCCTATGCTGGAGGTTGGTGGATGTTCTCTGGGGACTCATACCAGATGAAAGGACCTCAAAGTTCCTACCTCTGGTTGTTCCTCAAAAAAATAAATGGTCCAGACTTGAGCAAAGTTCACAGTCAATGAAGTCCTAACTGTTCTCAGTGCTTCCAAAGAGGTTTTAATTACCGTATAATCATGAAAAAGTTACCAGATAGCTAAGGAACCATGCCTCTAGAACAAGCATGTCAAACTCAAAGGCTAACATGAGCCAAATAAATGAGGCACGTGGCCCGCAAGTTTGACATGCTTGCTCTGGAACATAATGGTTCTCAACAATGCATGTACGAAGAAATCACGTAGGAATCTTTTTAAAATATTGATACATGCGTTTCAACTCCATTCAACTGTTCAGTGGTAGACTCTAATTCTAAGATTTATTTTTTTAAAGCTCCCTGTGTTATCATAATGTGCAGTCAAAGCTAAGAACCACAGTTCAAACAATACAGCCATGAAAAAGAACAGATTTACATGTATAAGCACTCAGCAAATAAAAAGAAAAGCTTGGAAATTAAATATATGCTAACAGACCTAAAATGTTCAATAGAAGGTTTGGAAGATTATTAACTGAGTAAATATCTCAGAAATTAGAGCAAAAAGACACACAAAAATTAGAAAATCATAAGATTAGTCCAGAAATTCCAGGATGGAAACCACCAGGAGAATTGGAGAAGAAAGCTACAAAAGATAGTACTGTAATAAGAAAGACTCCAATGGCAACACGGGACCCAAAAAACAATGCAGTTAAAATTCTTAAGAATAATTATTTCTAACCTAAAAATTCCACACCCAACCAAGCTATCAAACAAATATGATGACTGAATAAAGACATTTGCAGACATGCATGGACTCACAAAAGACTCACTTTCAGGATCCTACCAAACAAAGTGGTGAGTTCTGTTTCTCAAGTCGCACTGATGGCCTTGCTCAAGGATATATAAACTCACTGAGAAGCTGAAGCCAGACTATGACCAAGAGTCCATATTAAGCTTATCTTCTCCGAAAGATTTCAACTAAGAGACAATTTGAGCCTTTCTGTTTTAGATTTTACCCTTTTTTAATTTTAAATACCTTTCACATTCATAATTTTAATATTAATTAAAATAATATTTGGAGGAAATACTTGCAACAAACTATCTTATGTCAATATGGGATAATATTCAAATACAGAATTAAACATATTTAAATATTAAAATAAAATGATAGGTAAAGTCAAGAGAAGTAAACAAAAGAGAAATTAAATCTAGATTTTAAAAATAAACATATCAATAACAAAAATATCATCCTCTATAAAAAAAGAATGTTATGGGTGAAGGGAGTCAAAAGATGCAAACTCCAACTTATAAAATAAATGTCATGAAGATATAACAGTGTGGTGACTATGGTTAATAACATTATATAGCATATTTGAAAAATGCTAAGAGAGTAAATCTTAAAATTTCCTCACAAGAAAAATGTTTATTACTATGAATGGTGTCAGATGTTAACTAGACTTACTGTGGTATTTTGTAGTATATACAAATATTGAATCATTATGTTTATGCCTGAAACTACAATAATATAAAGTTACTTGTCAATTATACCTCAATTTAACAAAATTTAAACAATGTTGTAATCATACACTGTTGCAATTAAAGTTAAAAACTTTTGACAATATATCATGTGGTATTGCAGTATTGTTTACTAACCTCTGATTCATCACCCTTCTCTCTATAAGCAGTAGCAATACTGGTCTGAACAGCCTTAATCCATGCCTGGCGCAGCTTTTCAGAATCTGCCTGAAGCATACAACTTCTAAAGGGAAATAACATTGTTTTCTCAGTCACTAAATTAACCAAAAAAGAATAATAATGTTTTTTTGCTGACTTGGTTATACAATAATTTTCTAACAAAAAAATAATCATTTCTGTTGAAAAATTTTATTTCATCTATCTTTAGGACATATTGTATTCAATAAGAAATCAAGGTATTAATGAAATAATTTACCTACTGGAAATAAGTCACCCATTCCTTCACATTAAAAAAAAAACAAAAAAAAAAACAAACTTTAATTTTACCATATAAATACAACACTTTTTTTCTATTGGATAGAAATATAAAATGATAGTTATAAAAATATCAATCTGATATATGAATTAACTTTATCATCCATGACAACTAAAAAGTTTTCATATGGCCACATCAATAATCTTTATAGAATTTAAAGAATATGATACTGGGTAGAAGTTACAGAAATTTCTGACTCTAATACCTATAATTACTAAATAATGAAATTTACTTTGAAGACATTTTTTTCTAGTTAGCACAGACCACCACAAGTGAAACAAATCTTTCTCTACTCTGGAAAGTTCTTTAAAACAAGCTATAGAAATATAAAAGCCAACTCTCAGATTGTTTAGAACCACTCACTTTGTTGGAGAGACCACCTCAAAGCAGAATCGCCGTTCTATGTCTTCACAATGTTTCACTGTGCAAAGCCTTAGATCTTCCACCACCACAGTGGGGTTATCCTACAATAAGGAAACAGAACTCCCATATTTATCAATCTAGGTTTTAATACTACTACCAATAATACTTATAAATGTTACTTGGAATAAGTGGTCTTAAAGATTTATATTTTTCTTAATTTAGAGACAAGGCTTACCAACATAGTCATAACTAATAAAGGTAATTATACCCTGTTAATAATTTTACTGCCTCATAAAATTGCTGTATAAGAATTAAATAAAATAGTTTTAATCTAACACTTGGCAGTTAATTAGTAGGTACTCAATAAATGTCAGCTTCTTGTTAATTTTCTTTCATATCCATTACGCTCCTGGTCCCTACTCACATGTAATAAAAACTACTTTCCTCCAAAAAAAAAAAAATTAGCCTTTAAGGAGTCAAGTTTTAAATAACTGAAAAGGAAAAAGAAAAAGAAAAAGCCTATATATACTTCTTAAAATACTTACGAAAATGAAAACGGTTTTATCATTTCCTATTATTTAATTTAAAAAAAACCTCAAAACCAAGTATCAGAATAGAACGAACCATGAGCTAATTGTAAATTTCATATTGTGTCATCTCAAGAATAAAGTGAATATTTCAAATTTACAATTGAATACATCATTCCTAACAGCTAACTAGATAAAAATCAAGTTACCAATTAACTCTGGTTCTTTTTTTTTTTCTTTTTTTTTTTCTTTTTTTTTTTCTTAATTGGAGGGGGGTGGTAAAAGTATTTATTGATGTGTTTAAACTCTGTACATTCTCCACAGATCAGATTAAGGAGTTTGTAGGTAATGTTTATCTGTGCATAGTGGGAAGAGACATGAGTAAGGGAAAAAGAGAAGAAGAAAAAAAAAAAAAAAGGAAAAAAAACAATCACAGGGAAATAGAAATACACCACAAGTTACCAGAACCTTCAGAGAAAAAAAAGAAAAAGAAAAAGCTGTGAGCATCATCTTACAAGTTGAAGGAACAAAATCTCCAATGCTTTGCATGGTGTCTACAGACCATTTCAATATCCTCCTTCCACATAAAGTAAACTTCCCATGGTCTCTCCTGGGCCACTGTCACCTGCAACTGTAGTATTCTGAGTGAACCAGGTTGGTGACAGGAGAGGGAGGGCAGAGAAGTCAAGATATTGTGGGGAGGGAACAAGAATCAGTGCCCTCAGCGAGAGATGTCCAAAGAGGGAAAGATAGTATATTTGGACATTACTTGGGAGGGAAGTGAGCTGTCATATACTCACACCATATGTAATTTCTGTATGCCTTTCCAATAAATAAAAACTCCTCATCCTTAAAATAAGGTGCAGGAAAATTAGTATATAAAAAGAACATTAACAATTTAGAGGTTTTTATTTAACTTACTTCAAGGTTACATTTTAATGTCATTTCTAATATCTCTATATTATTATCAGTGGCCATAAAGAGTTATTTCTTAAAAGGCATCTTTTTCTACAGCCTCAAAGTAGTACTGTGGATTGGTTGTATTATTCTTGTCACACAAATGACAAAGAAACATGTGAAGTAAAAAGTATAAATCCTGGGACAGAAAAAAAAATCCACCTCAAAACTAGAAATTAAGAATTCAGGATTCAAAATCACTGCTTTTAAGTACTGAATGTGGATACTTCCCACTTCTGAACATTCTTGCTAGTATACATGCCCAAACATAAAACTAATAAACAGTAATTTTGCACATATCAATATTTATTAACTTAAATGCTTTCCCAAGCCAAACAGATGAATAACCAAAACTGGGGAGTCACTAGATTTTTCACTTAATTACTTAACAAAACACCTACCTTAAACTTTTTCTGGTAAACCAACTGATTGTTCTGTATTGAAAACCAGCGTCTAAATAAATACAAAATAGATTAAGTTTTTACCAACACATTTTATTTCAGTTGTTGTTAGGAACAAAATTTGGGAAAGCACTAGAAAATCAGTTTATAATAATTATGTTTTGAGAAGCACATTGTTTTGTTTTGTCTTATATAAATTGATGCCACTAAAATAACTATTGAAAGTAAAGAACAATTTTTAAATGACAGATTAGGAAAGTAAAACTACTATATTTTGATTCATTTAAAGTCAGAAATTTAAAACCTAACAAAAACTACCTTTTATGCTATCATCAAATAATAATTGTTTTAAAGTACAAGATTTTTTTGAGGTTTCTCAAAATAACCAAAATCTTACCCCCAAAATAAATGCTTTTATTATAAAGTGGAAATAAATTTATATTGTAAATAAGACTATGTATTTGTATACATTAAAACACTGAAATACATGGTGCTTTGTTTCAATCTTTCTGTAGGTAATTCAGCAAATGATTTGGTAATAGTAAGCAAAACAGAAAATTAAATCATCATTTTACAATTACTATCAAGCAAGGAAGAACTGCCAATTCATGTGGCCTACTTTCATATAATCATAGAAACAGAATAAAAGTTATTATTAAAATGATTCATCAAAATATTTATATTGTTCTGCTCATTATAAATTATTAGGCAAATAATTTACTTGCAATCTTCTTTAGAAGACAAAGCTAAGCTACTTATGGCATATTTACTAATTCTAATTTATTAAAAGAACCTAAAAACTTACAAAAAAAATCACAGCCAAAAGCCATTCATAAAAGAAAGCAAAAATTCTCATCAAGCATGAAAGGTAAAACATTGTTTGAGTCATTATTTTAAAATTAGTTCCATGTGAGATGATTTCTATTGTAAACATTAGTTATTAATCTATTAGCAGATAGAGATTCTACCTTTTCATTGATACTAAAAAAAAAAAAGCACTAGAAATTATATTGAGACATATTTAGAATTTCTATTTTTAAAAATTAATTCTCCAAAGCTGAGGAAATGATTTTCTAATTTTAAGCTAGACAGATTGTTAGGTTTTCTTGCTACTTTAAAAAGGTATCACCTTTACCATTAATAGAAATTTGTTAAATTAGCATCTAGATAAAACTAAGTGGGTTGCCTCTAAATGCAAATCATCAAGAGGCAGGCTAGAAAAGGAAGAACTTCTGTGTTTCTTTGCTTTGGGACACATGGTTAGAAATGTTAAAGGAAAGACCTACAAACAAACAAAATGGTGCAGCCCTGCCACATAGGATAACATGCAATGGAAATAATCTCTGCTACTGATTGAAATGTTTTTTTAAAAATCATTTAAGGTAGCGTAAACTATATTAATAAAAATCCTTATGTTTCAAAGTAATCATCTACCTAATAAAAGAATAACATACTAATTGACCATACCTTTGTGTAGCCCACCAGCCAATCAGGAGTATGCAAATTAACACAACAAAGATGTCAGGTTAATTTGCATATGCAGGCACCTAGTGGCTGGGGGCAGGGTGGGAAGCTTGCCTCATTTCCACACCACTCCAGCAGCTCTGAGCCTCTGGGCAGCATGGGAAGGTAGAATGGCGGCTCCAGCCAGAGCAAAGGTGGTGCCAGCAGCCAGGGGAAGGAAGGCCCATTCTTGCATGAATCTTTGTGCATTGGGTCTCTAGTCTATATATATATTGTATAAGGCTAATATGCAAAGTGCCACCTCAGGAGTTTGACCAGGAGACTGGGAGTTCGACCGGAAGACCATGACTTTGATGACTCGCTATGATGTGCGCTGACCACCCAAGGTGACACAGAACAAAGGAAGGCCCCAGTCGGAGACCAGAGGCTGGAGAAGGAAGGCCCTGGCCAGCACTGAAAGGCCCCAATTGTCCCTGATCGCCAGCCAAGTCTAGGGGCCCTGCCCGTGCACAGATTTTGTGCACTGGGCCTCTAGTATTATATAACTTGATGAAAAACTACATAGAAAAATAAGTGGCCTAGCACAAAAGAAAAACATCCATACAACTATGTAAGCTTTTCATGCTTCTTAGTCTTCAAAAAACAAATTTATTTTGACCTGCTGCATCTTAGGATTATAAGCTCTAAAAATAATGACAAAACATTAGATAAAAACGTGTTTTTGTCAGAGATCATTTCCTCTGGTTATGAACTTGACAGAAGATACATACTTCTGAAACCTAGTCCCCTGCCATCTTTCTGTTTCTGGTGACTTTCTCACATCCTCAGTTTTTGTACACTCAGGGAAAACACTACAAATTCATCTCAATTTGGCAACACCTCCTAAGGAATAAAACCATAATGTTATAAGTAGAAAAAATTTTCAATTAC